CTAGTTCTGACAAAATGATTTTTCAACAGAAAACGCAATTTCTGCACATTTGAAAATTTCCATTGGGAAAAAAGTAACAAAATATTTTATTGTGGGTTGGTTTGACCTGAATTGAAATATTTCTGCTTTGCACCCATAGCCATGTAACTCCGATAATGCATTATGCCAGTCAGTCAGAGGGGAGACCACACTGCATCATGGGAGATATACTCCAACCAGGGAGCCTGGCCCATAAGAGAGGCAATGTTCCAAAACAGGGAAATGAAGTTTGATGTTGAACTAGATAGAAAGAAAAAGTTTCAGGTCAGTTAAACAACAGAAAAATTAAATATTTCAATTATTTGGGAATATAAAAATATTTTGTTTGGAGAAAAAATGCAAAAATGGAATGATTTGCCATTTCTAAATTGAAATTTTTCTAAAATCTTTTCTTTCCATGAAAAAATGTGATATATTTTCACATTTTGTCCCACTTCAGAGCAAAACAGAGACTGAAATATTAGAATTTCCCACAGGATAGAAATTCAGATTTTCACTCATCTCTAGTGCTCATATATTTTTAAAATGTTTTTCAAAATAGTTTCTCTAAAAATCATAATATTGTGAAACAATGATCTGAGAGGACTAGAGACAAGTGCTAAAGCTGAGAATCCCATTTCTCCAATGAAATATAGATTTCCCCCCCCTCATACTGATGGTTTATAGAATATTGAATCATAAAACTGTCATTGGCAGAGGACTATCATTTTCAATCCCTACTTTTACTTAAAGCATATTTAAGGGGAAAGAAACAAAATGGATGGTAGATCATTTCATTTAAATAAAGTGGAGACTAGGAAAATGTCTGACATATTTGGATATTAGAAGTTAGCCCCTGCAGTGGTTAGCTTGTAGAGAGTGAATGAAAAGGCCAAAGGGGAAAAAGAAATGCATCTTATTTCAAGACCTGCAAGTCCTTACTTATAGTTAAAGTCATAATATATGGTGACATTATGTAGTATAAAGTCTTTGCCACTTGACCCATGAAGCTCATTCTGCTGCAGTACTTGTGAAGCAAGTAAATATCCCATATTCATGTTAATAAAAACTTTATACCAGGTCATTACATTCTCTCTCTCACACAAATATTACATCACATACAATAGCATCTAAGAACGTATTTTAAAGAAACGGAGTAAATACATTTTACTCTGCCAAAATCTTTTCAAATCATTTATATGTTTAATATTTTCAGTCTGAAAATGAATGTAATATGAATAAATCTTGAGTAGTTTTAAATTAAGAAAATATGTATTTGTTGCTTTTAAAAAACATCATTGTCTGAGAGCAAATCCTACCTATATGGACCATTCAAACTTGCATTATATCTCTCACAGAATGCATCTTCACTAGTTAATGAAGCCACAGTTCTTATATTTTCAACCGCTTCCGTTGAAATCTAAATCGGGAGACAAGACAGATATGAAGTATTCTCTTATGTTTGAGTCTACTCCTACCACTACATAGTTAGCACATCTGTAGCACTTTTCATCTTTCGCTCTCCAAGTGTTTTTCTTTTAAAAAAAGGAGATTAAGTATCATTCTCAGGAAAACTGAGGCACAACCATTAAATTATTTGCCTAAGGTCACACAGTGGTCTTTCTACTAAGCCAACATGGCTGCTATGTGATTCCTAAGTACTCCTCCCCCAACCTGTACATGTTGTTGCACAGCAGCATTAGCTGGCACTACAGAAGCCATTAAAAGGTAAGAAGTTGCTCCTTGCTCTGAGTACACACATCCGAGGCAGCAGCTCACTGGAGGGCTGCATGCTACCTTGGTTATGCAGCCTGAGCGGCACATTGAGCTGGGTGAGCCCCAAACTCCTACTACCCACCCCCAGTGGGGACTCCTGCTCCTGCTTCTGCCAGGCTTCCCCAGCCATGTGCCCGCCCACCCAGTCCACCCCTCCTCCACACCAGGCCCTTCCCCCACACACTTTGGCCAGCACTCCCACAGGGGTGACGTGTATCTTCACTTTTCATTTTCTGGATTTCAGATGTTTAAATTTGCATGTTCTTTAGCCCCCCTGATCCTGGGTTCATTGGGGGGCAAGGTGAGAGGCTCAGACACTCCAAGAAGAGCAGGGTCCCTAGATCCCAGCTCACATGGAGGAGCAGGGCTCCCCTAGATCCAAGCACACACAGAAGGGAAGAATTCAGGGCTGACAGCCCACCCCCAAATCCTCAACTTCCTCTGCCACCCCTCACATTCCCCATCGTCTCCCCTCACACTCCCCCAATCCCCACCCTCCCCCTTATTTGAGCCCCTAACCCTTCTTCCCTCCCCCACCACCCATCCTCATTTATCCCCCTCCTCATGTGCTGGCTTCCTCCTTTCCCCAGGGGTGATCAAACCCCCACTCAGCTCCAGGCCCCAACCCACTCCACCCCTTCCCCAAAGCCCCACCCCCATCCTGCCTCTTCCCACCCTGCTTATTCCCACCCAGTTCCTTCCCCTCCCCCGAGCGCACCTCATCCCCACTGCTTCCCCTTTCCCCCCAGCACCTCCTGCACACCGAGGAACAGCAGATTGTGGTGGGCAGGAAGCGCTGGGAGGGAGGGGGAAGGAGTTGATTGGCGGGGCCACCGGTGGGTGGGAGGCGCTGGGGGGGGGGGAAGGGAGGGAGCTGGCTGCCAGTGGGTGCTAAGCATCCACCAATTTTTTTCCACCCACAGAATCAGCACCTGTGCCCCCATCCCTTGCTCTAGACCCCAAACAGCTCCTTCTTCCCACTTACTCTTACACGGCAATTACCCCTTGTAATTAATTTTCTTTTCAAACACAGTTTGAGAGCCTTCTTAATTATCGGCTGTGCTCAGAGTCCATTTCTCCAAATTAAAACAAAAGTTTACATTTCATTTTCAGATTTCTGCTCAGAGTGGGCTTAGAACTTCAGAGCTGCTAGAATCTGTGAAATTATTTTTTTCCCCTGGAGGCTGTGGGGAACCCCACACTCAAATGAGCCCATCTCCAAATGAGCATATATGCATCCGAAGAAGTGGGCTGTAGTCCACGAAAGCTTATGCTCTAATAAATTTGTTAGCTTCTAAGGTGCCACAAGTACTCCTGTTCGTTTTGCGGAAACCCATCTTTAGATCACTCACCCTACCCTACGCTTTCATGACACACAGCAAATTTCAAGACAATCTGTGTAAACACACAGATTTGAGCATACTTAGTAGTCATCCTTTAAACAGGGCTTCCCCACCTTAGCTAGAGCAGAGCTGGTGCTCAGTTATAATGTTGTATAAAATTAGAAGGCCAGTGGAGCAGAGGTGCTCCACACATCCATCAGCATCATAATAGTCTCAGAGAGCTGTGAAGTGACCCATTCAATTCAATGAGATGTCTCAGGTGAAAATGAACACCCAGCCTGAATTCAGTCAGAATCTACCTCTGAGTAGGGTGACCAGACAGCAAGTGTGAAAAATCGGGACGGGGTGGGGAGTAATAGGCACCTATATAAGACAAAGCCCCGAATATCGGGACAGTCCCTCTAAAATTGAGACACCTGGTCACCTAGCTCTGAGACATATGAACTGCCCCATTCATGGCAGTGGATTTTTCCATTCCCCCTCCCCAGGACTGTAGAGTTTCTGACATGCCCATTCTCAGCTCCTCACCCCTCTCTCAGCAGTGTGTCCTTGGGGCATGCTCTGAGCATGCCTGTTCTAAGCTTCCCGCTCAGAGCACCCGGACTTCCCTGATCCAAGCTCGCATGGGGAGAGGTAGAGAGAGGGGGCCAGACTCCCTTAGAGGGACAAAGCACCCCAGATTCCAATTCATGTGAGGAGGTAGGGAGAGGGGCTTAGATGTCCCCAGAAAGCAATGCCTTCTGCAGACCCTGGCTCACATGAGAGGGGACATGGAAGGCAGATAGATCCCCACAGCTGGGCAAGGCAGCTTCAGAGCCTGGCAAACAGAGGAGGGTCAGGTGCAGGGCT